ATTGTGCGAGGTCAGGTTTTACAGTGGACCAGTTTCCAGTGCCGTGCAGAAGTGTATTTTTAAATCAATTTCGAACTGACCTTTTTGTTTTTTTCTTTTCAAAATTGTATTTGTAAGGGTCCCCTGTACATCCAGAATTTTTTTTTTTTGGATTTCTGAATCACCCTGTATATGAATATGATCCATTTTTTAAATAATTAACGAATAAATAAATAATAGGGGACGATTTTGATTTTGTAATTTTGTATTTAAAATCAATGTTTTTTTTAAGAAGAGCAAGAACTCGGTGAGATTTAAAAATTAATTATTTTGTAATAAATTTGTTTTTAAAAAAATAAAACATATTTTTTATAAAACCTCTTTAGCCATTTATAATTTTAATTTTTCGAACCTCTATATTACAAATATGAGCGAGTTTGATTTAAAATCGATAATTGTTAAATAGAATAGTCGGCCATATTGGATCAGCCATTTTGAATTTTCATTTTCCGACATCATATTCTTGTTTAGCGACCTCAAAAGCTACTATATTAATATAAGCGAGTTTGATTTAAAATAGATAATTGTTAAATAAATTGTTTAAAATAGGCGGCCATATTGGATCAGCCATTTTGAATTTTCATTTTCCAACTCCATATTCTTTTTCAGCGACATCGAAAACCCCTAGATTCGATTTAAAATTCATTGAATGATTTTAAATGTTCTTAAAAAACTATTTATTATTATTGTTTAAACAATTAAAAAACAATTAGCGTACAAAAATAAGTTTATAACTTTTTTCTAATACTTATCTCCAACTAATTTCAAAAGGTTTTAGGAAAATCCATACTTCCCATAATTATTTCGAAATAATACGTAATTTTAAGCTATCTCGACTCCACTAATATGGTTGACACGCTAAATAGGAAATTAGGATGTACTGAATTTTCTTCAAAAAACTCTTTGTGATTTTATCGACAATACTTTCGTGTAACATATTCGAATTAAATCACAGAAAAGGACAATTCTCAGCGACAGTGTAAAACAAAAACTACCCATAAATTACAATAAATATAATTTGACGGCAACTTCCCGGTAATAGGACTCTCGTGGCGGGAAACGAATTCACCTTTGTAGAACAAAAACTGCCTTTTCGTTTTCGTGTAAGAGTCCTAAGTATAATTTATCTGACAGAGAATAGGGCTCGTGCAGCTGCGAATGGGTATATTTTTATATAAACATTTGATAATTTGGAGTTTTTTCACGTAAAACGGGAATCTAGATAACACTCGACGTACATTCCGGGTATCTGAGCGTCGGCGAGGCGAAGACGTAGTAAATTTTCATTTAATTGAATGCCCTGCAGCGAACAACAACCCCCGCCAAATCAAGATGCAAAATCTGAAAGAATTATTAAGCAATTCCACGTGATAGCCGACTTAATTAGTTCTTTATAGTTAGCCGCCTTCTATCTTGTACCTTATTTATGCCCTGAAACACGCCTATCTGTAAATTACCCATGTTCACAGCAGGAAAACGTGTTACGGGATTATTTGTTTCGGTTGAAGCTCTCAAGGCTTTTCCACCCATTCGTTACCTCAATTTTATCAGTCTGCGGCCAACGCAATGAAGGGTGTTCATGTGGCCTATACAGCCAGGAAATAACAAACTTTTTGGAAACATTTGTTACAAATATCACTTCCATTAAAGAAAACACTCATCTTCATACTCATTAGTCAATGAGTTGGCGTTTTATAGACAAGAAATTGCATTTTTAGGAAGTCAATGATAGAACAAGAAAATCTACCTAAACTATAAAAATGTTCAAATACAATTCCTTTAAAGATCAGCGAAACCACCGGCACCCATGTAAACATTCTTGTTGCGTTGACAATTTTGTAAAAATACTCAATAATTATGATTAATTCATGTCATAATAGTTTCATAAAAGCATTCTGCAGGGTTCGATTATGTTTTTAGTACCGTACGCGATTTTCTGTGTATTCGACAGGACAAAGTTCAGGAAATGTAATGATAAACATAAGAAGTTGTCGTGGTTGTGTGTAGCTAGTTTTATTTTCTTCCGGCAACATGGCCCCACGTTGGGCGCCATGAATGTTGGTTGCCTGTTGTGTTGGTCCCGGCTGTTGAGACGGGTTAACTTCTATCCTGAGCATTATGCTGAGTTGAAGGAGCCCAGGTGGAGATTCCACGATCTATTTGTATTGTTTGTTGCGACCTAATCGGCCATTGGAGCATTTCACTAATTTGGTTTTCACTGAGGACTTTGGAAACGTGGTTCGGGCTTTTGTGTCACCCTGTACGCAATTGGTTTGGGTCTGATATCCTAGTGTCTGAAAGTCACTGTCTTTGGTTCACCATTCTTTATTCACTATGTACGGACTCATTGGAGTGCCGGTACTGAAGCTTTTAGGAAGCTTGGTTCAGCATGGAGCTGACTGACAGGTTAGAGTTTTCTGAGAAGTTATAACTCGGGAGTAAGTAAATATATATCATTTATTTAAATGCTGCTCATAGTACAGAATCTATAGGAGCGAATTATTTTTGAATAGCGAGTGCTAGACTCTCACCAGGTACTGTGCCCTGGTTGATAGACTGTAATTGCGACGGGTGTGTGTTCAATCGCCAGCAGGGTGAATCCCGGTAGAACAGCTGCTGCGTTGATTGCTTCAGTAACACCTCATCTCGGCTCGTGACGTTTGCATGTTTGCCTGATCTGGTCGCTCGGCAGTGGTTGGTTATCTGAAACTGAATATATTAATTCCGAACCCGAAATCTTGTGGGAGACGGCTTTGGTGGCTCTTTGGAGATTTCGAAAGTGTGGTGAAAAAAAAATATTTCCCTCATTCCTCGTCGGCGCGGCGGTCTCAGGGAGGCTTTGGTGTAGGACGTGGTCATCGCCCGATGACGCTGGGGTGGCTAGAGTAAATGCGGGAGAGTTGCCGCGGCGGGAGAGACGCCGCTTTTAACGTATTTTGATGATTACGCCGAAAAGTAAGCAACCAAGTATACCCATGATGAGAGTTGATCGTTTAGTGAACATGTATAACATCGGACGTGTTTGTTTTTAAAAATGTCACTTGCCATCCTCGAATTTACGAAGGTAAGATTAAATTTACTTCGAACAGTTTTAAGTACTGTTCTAATAAGTGTGATTCTTTGTAACGTGGTAGTATTATTTAATATTCGTAAGTTTTTTCCAGTATTTTGAGGTTATGTTTAGATGTTTCATGAGATATTTTGGTGCATTTTAACTTTGTAACCTTGATAAGAGGGTGCGGCATCTCTCCCAACAAAAAGGACAGTTGCCGCATTTTGAGGGAGGAGAGACGCCGCGTGCTATTTTTTCAAGGTTATTGTTTCGCCATGATTTTTATTAAATTAAAATTACAATTTTATTAGAAAAATGCCACGGAAATATCAAAGAAAGGCAAGTGCACGCACAAGGGCCTTGTGGACCGAAGAACAATTGCAAGAAGCCATTAATAAAGTTAGTTCCGGTGAGGTATCCAAAAGAGAAGCTCATAGGCGTTATCAGGTATCACCAAAGACCCTTAAACGTAGAATGGCTAGTGTTCGGAAAGGGAGTCTCGGACCAGAAGGTAAGTGATTTTTTTTTATTTTTACGTCAGAAATTTCCTATAATTTATTTTATAGGTGTTCTAGGGCATGAAAATGAAAAACGGTGGGTTGTTCACATCCAACGATTGGCAGCGGCTGGATTTGCTCCTGATAGAAATACAGTTCGACGATTGGCTTACAACTTTGTTGAGAAACTAAAATTAAAACACATTTTTTCAGACAATAGCGGCATGGCTGGTTATTCTTGGCTTTCATCATTTTTGGAAAGGAACCCCGAATTTTCTATAAGGCAAACTGAAGAATTGTCATTATCAAGAGCTCGAGGAATGAACAGAGAAGAAACCTCACCATTTTTTCAACTTTTGATTGATACCTTAACTGAATATTGTGAATATAGTATATTGGACAAACTGTCTCATATTTTCAATATGGATGAGACAGGTGTACAACTGATCAACAAACCTGGCAAAGTCCTAGCAACGAAAAGTGCAAAAGATGTATACGTTTTAACATCTAAAGAGCGAGGAGAAAATGTTACTGTTGTTGCATGTTGTGGTGCAGACGGCAGGTTTATTCCGCCCACATTAATTTTCAAAGGTGTAAACCAAAAGGCTGAATATTCAGATGGATTACCAGCTGAATCCAAAGTTTATATGAATAAAAATTCATCCTTCATAAACTCGGAATTACTTCTTAAATGGTTAAAAGAGCAGTTTATTCCGAATAAACCACCCGGTAAATGTTTATTAATCCTGGATGCCCACACTTCACACAGTACTGATGGCGATATGCTGCAAGTGGCTGACAACGATATCGTTATTTTGTGTTTACCAAGTCACTGTACGCAGGCTCTTCAGCCACTAGACCGGAGCTTTTTTAAGCCATTTAAAACTTATTTGAACCAAGAAGCTCAGTTATGGATGAAACACAACGCCAGCAGAAACCTCACGAGATATCAAGCTGGTTCATTAATTGGAAAAGCTTGGTTAAGATCAGCATCTGTGGCCACAGCCATTAACGGTTTCAAGGCAGCAGGGATATATCCTGTTGATCCAAATGCAATTCCGGATCACTTTTATTCGATAATCGATTCAGCCACGGCTACGACAGAAACTTCCCCAGAAAGAGATGCTGTCCGTTCCAGCTTAGAATTACCCTCCACAAGCCCTGCAAGTCCTATTCCAACATGTAGTGGTGGAGACGACGGCGACGGTCCAAAAATCACTCCTTCAAAATTTTTGCAAGAAGTGTCTGTCCCAAAAATACCTGTATCCGTTAAACAGAGGTACAAGCAAAGCGCAACTGTGTTAACATCATCCGAAAACATAAAAACAAAGAGGGTTCGCTCACAAACCTAAAACAACAAAGCAGAAAAGAAAAAGAAACTAAAAACACCAGAGGAAGAGCCAGAGCCTCTGGCTAAAAAGAAAAATGAAAATCAGGAACGCTGCGTGGAATGCTTCGAAGTTTACGAAACGACAACGAAAAATGTGGATTGGCTGCAGTGCCTTAGATGCTTAAAATGGCTACATGTCACTTGCACCATGTATGGTGAAGTTTGTAACATCTGTTCTAGACTCGACTTAAGAAAAAATAAATAAAAATTAGACGTTATTTAGACATGTCGATCCTGCGGCATCTCTCCTTTTTCTACGCGGCATCTCTCCCAGTAGTGTGGAAGAAAAATGTTTTTTTGCTATGTTTCTTTAGAATTAGTTTATTTTTGTATTTTAATAAAGTTTAAAGCAGAATCTTAAAAAATAAGAAAATTACAACCATTTTTCAAAAAGTGCGGCAACTCTCCCGCATTTACCCTATGCCTGCTCGATATCGTCCTGGTGGCTCGACGGTAGAAATTTATAAAGGTAGGTGAAATTATTAGAAAGATCGGTGATTTTTGTAGGTGCCATTTGGATAGTGCGGCGATCGTCTAGGTGTCTTCAGGCGTTGTATTGAACAGCTTGTTGCATGATAGAAGACAGTTCGTAGTGTCTAGGGAGTTTCGAGCAGAATTTCGAAACATCCGCGATTTTTGGGAAGTTCGTGTAACATTCTTCTACTGCTTGCAGGACTACTTAGACATGTTGTAGCTTGCCCGTGATATATTTGTGTAAGAAACATGAGTTTTGAGCGTTTGAGCATTGAGTTTGACTTCGAACATCGGTAAATTTTGAAGCTCGCCTTATGTTCTACAACAAAGTAAAAATATGCTTTTTTCCTTATTCTGAATGTATTGTCAGCTTGTAAACTGTCCCTGGAGAAATCTTGTTTAACTGGTACAATATTTTGTGGGATACATTATCATACCGCGTTATGTGAAGTGAAAGTTGTCTAAGTATCTATTTATCTTAAGTTTTGTAATTGTTTTGTTTCGCCATATTTAAATTTTATCTAAATCTTGCAAGAGTATTATCTTGTTTGTAGTACTAGAAATGCTGACGTTATGCTCTACATATAATGGAGGAAGAGAAGGCTAGTGGTGACTAAGAAGGTTAGGGGTCAGGTCAATTAATCAGAGCAAATAGATTGAAGAAAAAAGAGAGTCAACTGCCTGCCAGGAGATGCTTAATTCTTAGGGTCGAAGAGTTATATCCCATGTAACCAATCGTGTAACTGAAAAACTTGAAAAAAACTTAACATAAGCATATAACCGGGTGATTAAGCGAAAATTGAATTTCACTTTTTCGTTCTTCTACGAGGTGCAAAAAAGTGCAAGAGTAGAATGATAAACAACATCATGATACTGAAATATAATTATGTAGGTCCAATGTGCATTTTTTTGTATATTTTCACATATTTGCAGAAATCGCTCATTGAGGATACAACCAATACTAACATGAATTCAGTTGTTTTCAGAACTTAGAACTTATGTATTAAAAATTTTGAAACATTATTTTGAAATGGATAAATAAATAAAAAACATGTTTTTTTCTATTTCTAATCTAATTATAGTAATAGTAGTAATAAAAATAAATAACGGACTTTTTTTTCTTATGTCAAGGCATCAAAATTCCACTGAAAAAAGAGAGTTGTCACGCTTAAATGTCCTCACTTGCCTACACAATTTATGACTATTACATTTTTAAAATACCGCGGCAAGGTACAGATTTTAATATGGCATTTAATTTCATTCCTTAAATTACCATCAACTTTCAAATTAATAAAATAAGAAACATATAGTAGAATATGGCATAGAAGCATATTATCTAAAAAAAAAAACAAAATGGTGTGAATAACGTTAATAACCGAAAATAGGAAAGACAAATTATGCAGAAATAATAAAACGAACATAACTACAACAATTATAATTACTTTAACCAAATTCAATTCTTAATTGTTAACTTTTATCAGTTAAGTTAAATATTTTGTTTGAAAATTATACGTTCAACACTAGAAAAATTATGAATATATTTAGCTATTGATTGTACCCAAGACTCGACTCAGCCTTTATTAAAATTTATTACACCAATTTGTGAGCAACAAGTGTTACATCAAAGCTGTTCTCAAGAGTTTTTAATTAAAAGTTTGTCAGCTACGAAGCTTAATAAATAAAAATACGTAAAAGAGTTGCATCGATAAGGTATTACTAAAGTTATAATACAAATTTATTAGGTTTCCAGAACATTCTCTACAAGTTTTACATCATGTCGACATTTTCTCCCCCTTTCATTATTCAAAATATATAAAGAAAGCAATATTAATTTATAATAAAATAGTTTATTGAAATTTGTAATGTGTCATAAAATATGAACACATGCTTTTTAGAATTCAAATGTAACACAGAAGTTATTTAAAGAGATAAAATGGATTCAAATTTTGTTAATTTTATATAGGTACGCTCTCTATGTTTTTCCTGGCAGAATAATTCTAAATTTTTTTCTTGATATGTCATACCATTGCTTCCAAAACTAGATGTTGGTAGGTTTTAAAAAGACACATTTATATTTTATGGTGTATACAGTGTGTCCCAGAAATAAGTACCAAAATTTGACTCTTCAAAAAAAAACACATTTTGTTTATTATTTTCTCCTAATCTTTAAAGTGATACATTCTTTTAAATGTTTAATTTCTGTTATCCACAACTGGATAATCAATCGAAATTCTTAAATAAACGAAAAGAAGCACAAAAATGGGAAGTAGTCAGAAGTAATATTTAGTATTTACGCTAATAAATAAAAATTTAAGGTAGTGAATTATTCCATATGACAATCACATAATAGTGTAGTGAACGAATGTCGAAAGTAGGGAAGGTAGGGTAGTAAGTATTTTTTTGCAGCTATAAAACTAACTCCCGCCTCCGAATTTGAGATCCGTTGAATTTCTAGTCCTGCATATTCCTGCAACTAGCTAAAAACCACCCTGTTTTTGATTTTGGGACTCCAATCCTCGCAACCCCCTCGAATGGCTTAAATCTACCCCTTATTTTCGTTCTTGCCCTCCCCCGTTTTCAAGGGTGCTTACCACAAAGTTGATGGCCATAACCCCCCTCTACCCCCACAGCCCCCTCGAACGGGTCAAAACTACCCTCAATCTGATTTTATGTAATCCAACAAGGTGACTTCCCGTTTTCGAGGGTGCTGAACGGGAATATGATATTCTGATCATCTCATTCGTGATCGGCACCTTCGAAGATGAGGGGCTGAGCAAGTTACCTTGTTGGATTCCGTAAGATCAGATTGGGGGTAGTCTTGGCCCGTTCTAAGGGTTTTTCATATTCGTGATCAGTATTCTTGAAAACAGGAAGAGGGATATAGAGTTCCTCACTGGGACCCTAAATCCAAAAAGGAGTTGTTTTTGGCTAATTGCGGGGAGTACGCAGGGATAGAAATACAACGGATCTCAAATTCGGATTCAGCACCCTCGAAAACGAGGACTGGGGTTGGTTTCGTAGCTACAACAAATACCAAAAAAGCCATATTTTAAATTCTTTCACTACACTATACAGGCTGTTAAAAATCCGCTTCTCACTACAGTGATCTCGGAAACGGTAAGAGATACGAAAGATGGGGGCAAAGTTGCATAATCAGGGGACTAACATTATGTCTATAAAAATGAAGGCGAACATGATTAGTTTTCGAAATATTTGAAAAAAAAAACAAATTTTCGAAATCCGTTTTTGTTTCATATCAGCCTTGTTTGAGGTGATATTGAAAAAAGAAGAACACTTTCTCATGGCAACATTTTGCCCTCTATCGAATAGCATAATCAATTTTTATATGTAACGTTTCGTCTCTCCAAGACCATCATCAACTTCATTTTTTTAAATACGACCCTGGAAATTTAATTACATTTTTTGCAAGTCTTCGTGACCCCGCAGTACAGTAGTACTGCATCAGCTTTAGTTTCTCCTGTAAAATTATATATTCGTAGGAACATGACGTCGTTTATAACGCAGATGCATAAGCGACATCATGTTTTTCATTATTTAAATAAAGAATGGTTTATTCAATCATTTTCTACGAACTGGCTATTTCTATGGTATTACATTTTTATAGCACAAATTATTATTTCTTGTTTCTTGTCAAAGAAAGTGGTTATTAATTGTCTTCAAAGAGTATCGTGTGACTTGTGTGATTAATATTCTGTTTCAGCATGTAAATAAATAAATCAGTCTTAGTCCAAAACGGTACAACACATCGAAATGGCAAGAGTAGCATTTCACTGTGAAACTGTTCCATTTTAGCTCAAACAGTTGAAAAGTTCGCGTATAAAGGCAAGAAAGAATGATGTTTGTTGTTATTTACTATACTATTGTTGTTATTTACTATACTATACCTAACGATAATTATTTATGTAACAAGACATTCGCAACCCATTTTTAATTTTGGAGACGTCTGGATAAATGTGCTGCATATATAACGACACGAAAAACAAATGGGTGAGCTAAACATTACACCGCAGCAAAATCAAACAAACCTGTCAAGATACCTCTATCGACCGGGGTCGACAGATGAGCCGCAGGAAAAACAATAAATAACATGATCAAAACTCCGACGAACACTTGAGATGACAGGGACCCGAGAAAGGTGTGTCCTTAAATATATTCCGTGTCGTTGGGGTTGTAAGGGTATAGGAGTATGGGTTATACGTAAGTGCGCCTCTGTATTTTTATTTCAATTGTTTTTAAGTACGAACGTTTCATTTCAAATGTTTTTATGGTTGTTGAATCACGTATATAAAAGTATATTGGGTCTAAACACAACAACAACAACAACAACAACAATAACAACAAAGAAAATAAAAATGTCACTCCTTTCAGTTAAAAAAAATTACTTCCATGCTACTGGAAAACTGGCTGACCTGATTTATACAAGAAGTTATATTTATCCAGTAGAGCGTTTCGCAAAAAAATGGAATG